CATTTATATGAATCTTTTGCTTCCTATTAGCTCTTCTATCATGTTGAACCAAACTTAAATTCCTAACCTTTCTAAATAAAAATAGTATAATCTCAAATGTGATCAGAAACAAAGCATATACCAAACACATTTCTATCTCTCCTATCCATCAGTTTTCTATTTTATAAGAACTTAACCCTTTCAATAATTTGTTGGTATATTTAACGAATACTATAAATGAAATTAAGTGTAAGATATATGGATGGAATTGCAGAAACCCAACAACATGAATAAAATCAAAGGCTAATACTCATAATATTAGTTCATAGAAATTAATAAGCAAAAATGAATGCTCATCATCTTAACTAGGCTAAAAAGCAGAAGGGGCTATTTACTTAAGAAATATAAAAATGATAAATAGATATATGCACAACTATTATTTGCAAAAATATCTAAAAAGATAAAAACATGAGAGTTTTTCATACATTAATTTGGGAAAACATGGTCAAAAGGGATATTATTTCATATGTAGGGATGTTTTGGAAAATAGGCCTCTTATTTTACTTATGTTAATGTCATTCAGAACAACTTTCTACAAAGTAACTCCCAATATATATTAAAAGCACAAACACATTCATGTTCTCTGATACAGAAATTTCCCTTATAGGAAATAAACAGATATGTGAATGAAGATTAGTACTAGAGATCTTCACTGATGATTTGTATTATAAAAAGGAGACAGTCGGAGGCTGGGCATGGCAGCACATGCATTTAATCCCAGTACTCTGGTATTGGGGATCCCAGCCATGGGTCTCAGTCTCCTGAAAGGCAATATGGTGCAAGAAAGAAAGAACAAAAGACAGAGAAATAAGACTTAAAAAGAAAGCAGGGCCTTGGCTGGTCCAAGCTGCTCTGGGCAACAGAGACAAAAGGCACCAAAGATTTCCAGTGTTTTTTTATTACAATCACGGGAAGGAGAGCAAGGTTTGCTTCAGAGTAGTAGAGGGTGAGGCATCTGGCAATAGAGGCTGTAAAAGGGAGGTACTTCTTATCTTACAGGAGAGAGCAAATAGGAACCAAGACTGGGTTGTAATTAATCAGCAACCCATCAGGTCAAGAGTGGAAGCTATAATTCAGGGAAAAGAATTTAGGCCTCCATGGCAGCCATTGGCAAAGGCGCTATGTTCATCTAACTCTGCCATCTGACATAGTCATATGAGTCACATAGGCTTTGATCAGACTCTAATATAATACAGCCATACTTATAGTCTGCTAGTACTGTGCAGCGATGTCTACTACACTCTGGAAGCTCGAGGCTGTAGGATCCCAAGTTCATGCTTAGCCTGGGTAATTTAACAATTTAGAGAGATTCTGTAAAAAAAAAAACAAAAAACATAGAGGATATAGCTCAGTATGAAGGCCCAGGCTCGGTCTTCATTCTCCAGTCCTATGAGAGAGAGAGAGAGAGAGAGAGAGAGAGAGAGAGAGAGAGAGAGAGAGTCTAGCAATAGTTGTTTGCATATATTGTGGTGAATGCTTCAATACAATATTATGTAAACATTAAATATAATTCCTAGAACAAAGTATGACTTAAAGAAATATATATATGAATGTATGAATGACAGGGCCTTGCGATGTAGTTGACAGCCTTGAACTCTCTATATATCCCAGGCTGGCCTTGAACTTGAGGCAATACTCTTGCTTCAATCTCCTGAGTTCTGAGATTACAGGTGTGTACCACCACACCCAGCTAAATTCAGAGTATATTAAGTGAAAAATATTATAATCAGTATGCACATTATTACAGGGATTTTCTTTATATAAATATGTTACAAATTGACCCTAAAAATGTTAAATCTGCTAAGGAGGATCACAAGTTCAAGCTCAGCCTGACCAACCTAGCAACTTGATGAGACCCAATCTCAAAAAGAAAAAAAAAAATTAAAAAGCATTGCCTAAAGCTCCATGTGAAGGCCCTGGCTTCAACCAGCAAAACAAACAAACAAAACAGTTAAATCTATTTATACTGGAGTAATAAAATTACAGATGGCTTTTATTTCCATTGTCTTGCTTTTCTGTTCTTTTGTTTCCTAGTTTCTCTGCCATGCATGTGTATAATTTTTACAATCAGGAAAAGGACAAAAATTTTAAATGTTTACTGGTAACACTGTTTTCCAGAAAGAAATAAATGGAGAAAGAGAAGAATATTCGAAAACTACCAACACTTGTCCATGTATCCGAAGATTCTGATAAGACTATATAGCACACAGTCCTGCATATACAGTTACTAAGGCAGCCAGAAATAAAGTAAAAGAGATGAGAAACATAAGCCTATCTCTCGCTTCCTTGTGAGTACATCATAGGAAGGTATGATTTGTAGTTTTGCTCTAATCAATACAGACAATTTTGAATTAAGACCTATTTCTTTTATTAAGGCAGCATTTTCCGATTTATTTTTATTAATCAATTCAATTGAAGCAGTGCAGCTTGGCAGGTCCGGTTTAATTCAAGAGTACTATAGTGAGACTCATTAGAGTTTTACCCGTAGTTCATATGGCATGAAAGAACTGACAGACTACCTAAAAGTATATATTTTCACACACAAAATCCACTGTCTATAAAGGTATTTATATATGAGTTAATCATAATTCTCTGTTTGTTTGGAGAAGACAAAGAGAGTTATAAGTACACACAGACCACTGCAGCAGTGCCTGTATGACTAAAGGTGATAATGCCATATCTTAAGCCATCATGCTTAATCTCTTTGGAAAAACACTAAGTATCCCTTCATCCTCGTAAAAAAATCTTGTAGAAATATCATCCTCAGCACCAAAATAAAAGATAGATTGTTGATCATCAGGTTTTGTAAGCACATAAATAAGGGGGCATGGAATAATTTTTCATTCTCTACACTTGCCTAACATTTATCGGTATCCTTTACCTCTCTTAAAGAGAGAAGGCATAGAATGAGGGCTCTATTGATGTGGAAACTTGAGGAAAATAAAGAGACCAGTTTGGGAAAATGGAATATTAGTGAATATCCCAAAACATGCATACGTATTAACATTTTATCAAAAAATGTAGGCTATGATCTGTATGATTATGTACCTTCCAAATTCAAATGTTGAAACTAACTTTTAACTCTCAAGGTGATAGTATTAGGCAGTGGGTCTTTGGGGGGATGATGAGGTCAAGAGGGCAGGCCCCCTATTGAATGGGATAAGTGCTTTGATAAAAGAATCCCCAAAGAGATAGATATCTCATCCCTTCCACACAGTGAGAAGGCATCATTATGAATCAGAAATAAGGCCTTCACCAGAGTCTGAATCTGACAGCACCTTAGTCTCGGAATCCTCAATCTTTAGAACTTCGAGCAATAAAAATCTGTTCATATGCTACCTATTTTATGGTATTTTGCTATAGGAGTCTGGGCTGAGATAGTGCAACACAGTTTATCTTCCCTAAAATCAAAAGTAATCAAACTATTCCACTATGATGAATCCTATATTTCTACAGCAAGGAGAAAAATCACTGAGTTTAAAAAACACTGCTGCCAGAACCACTTTGGGTGATTGAAATCAAAGAAGAGATGCCCTCGATAATTCTCATACTGAAATTATTCAAACTGGTGCCTCAATTTGCCAGTGTGTTTTAAAAATTCAATTGTAGGACTAAGGAGAAACCTTGTTTTCCACATCTTCTATTTTCTGGAAGAACCATAGCCAAGTTATTTAAAAAAATGACTCTCCATTATTTCATAAGACACCAAGAGATTTCCCACTGGGTGATGAATCATGCAGGCAAAACAGTAAGACAGAAAGCTAATGTTTTGCTCTGAAAATACTAGTTTTGGATGAGAAAGTCCTTTTGATGTGTTTCTGGGGATGAAACCCAGAGCTTCACGCATGCTAGGCAAGTGCTCTTACCACTGTTACACTTTTAGCCCAAGCAAATATTTTCTTAATTGTAAACAGATTTTATTGAATTCCATACTAATATTCTGAGACTAAGAAAATCATTTTCGAGGGACCAGTAAATTTATGAGTTTATATAACTTAAAAGTTGCCTCACTGTACCATAATTTAAGGGACTTGGGGTCCAATATATAAAGCATGATTTGATAATTTTATGTCAAAAATAATGTTTTAGCCCCAATTTCAACTCAGAAAGTTCTGTCTGGCAAAAGTAGATACAGGGAGGATTGGATTAAGTTAGTGGCACGCAGAATCAGTGTGATGAAACTGTGTGCAGTGGAAGCAATTTTGCATCCACAGTTCAAAAGTCATCATTATGTATGTTCAAAGCATTTGTTACCCATATATCTTTAATGTTCAATATGTAAGGGCAAGAGAATAGAATATTTAACCTAATTATCTTTTGTTTTCTGATTTGTTTAGCCTATATCTTTACATTTTTCTAAGGTCTAGACCATTCAGCAGTCAAGAAAATAAAGGGTGCTGGGCATGGTGGCGCACACCTGTAATCCCAGCACTCAGGAGGCTGAGGCAGGAGGATTGTCATGAGTTCCAGTCCAGGCTGTATTACATGAGTTCAAAGCCAGCCTGAACTACATAGTGAGATGAGACCCTGTCTCCAAACATAAACAAAAACAAAAACACAAAAAAGAACCAAAATTTTTTTAAACCAAAAAATAAGGAAAAAAAGGGAGTATGCACTTTCTGTTTGCACTTTGTGACACTTTAACGTTTGTTTTAAATTATGAGGAAGAAATAAAGTGGAGAGTTAATGTCCAATTTCTAGTCTCAATATCCTTTGTGCATTAGAAAGTGGCATAAAGTAAAATATACTTCCCAGTTTCCTTTTTGAGTTTGCTTCCCAATAAATATAGCAGTATTTGCCCAAACACTTGATAGGGCTGCTTGGAGTACAGGTGAAATATGCTTCGGGGGGCATATCAGATGCAGTATGAAAGGGTGACTTGAGTGAGAAATACTGTCTGCCACACCCATCAATTGCTCCAAATGTGGAAGAGGAGAAAGAAACGCAATCATTGTTGGTTATTCAAAATGCGCTTTTTATTCACTTCAACACAGATAATATTTTTACAATCAAAAGAAAATATCTGATACATAATTTTGAGATTTTTAGCAGCACCTGCGCCAACAGGATTGTGGAATGCCTTGGGATAAGGTCAAGATGGCTGAGACAGACACAAATAAACCAGAAATTCATCATCCACTGAAGATGAATGGAATCTGAGGCCCCCCCAAAAGTTAGCCAATACATGAAAATAAACAATAAATATTCTGTATGATGTTTTAACAGATATTTGAAAGACAGTGCCTTCTGAAATAGAAGTATGTTACTCCAAAAATCTAGCTTTCATTAAAAAATCTATTGAAAATATCACACTGCGCATTCTAGAGTACACAGACAATACTGAACTTATGTTCACAGATCCTGATAGTCACAAATTTCAGCTTTTGGTATTTTTAATCTTATCCAAACTCTATGTCAGCACTAACTTAATGTTACTCCCAAAATACTGTTGTTTTTCTCACTCTGTGTTAAGTGCTCTCATTAATGTACTGTGTTTTAATTCGAAAGGAAAAAAAATGGTATGGCTAAAAGGAAAGGGGCTTCAAGTGATCTAATGATAAAATTAATCCTTTTCTTAGATGGATAGGATGTCTATGAATTGAACACCTACATACTTTTTTTTACTCAAATGATCACATGACACTGTAGGAGACAAATACTTTTGTGAATTGATGGAGGTCTTTACAAAGGCCTGAGATCTACAAATAGAAACTATTGTAAGCAGAGTGAAAGTAGAAAGAGAAGGCTCCAGGTCTCATGCACTTAAAAATAATTATCATTTAACAGATCTGATATAATAGATTTTCACCATAACATGATTACAGGAAAATGATTATAGAACGTGGAAACCAGTGTGGCTGGCTATAGGCATGGGCAGAATAGGAACCAATACTTAAGAGCTGTCGGGTTCCAGTTCTGGTTTTGACTTCTGGCATCAAAGTTAATTGGACAGTGGGGTCAAGATTCTATTTTAATTCAAAATATTGAGTACAACTAGGTTGTTAAAATACTGTATTCCTCTCATCTATGTGGCCAAAAAGTCCCAGAGCTCTTAAAGCATGTAAGGTCCCACATGTAAGGCTGATTCCATAAGTGGCTACTATGGAGAGTTCTAGGCTGTAGTCCGGTAAAAGCTCTCCACCCACCCCGACCCAGTTCTGTTTTGGGGATCATTTCTAACTCTCCCTCACTACACTGGGTCCCAGTTTTTATTACAGATTTTTTAAAGGACAGAGTAAATACTATGTAGAACAAATAGAACAATCAACAAGAACTAGAGTTCATACTCATAATACACTATATAGTTGGCAGTCATGGTAATCAAAAATTGTCAAACCATTTTTGGTTCTAATATGGTATCTTCAGGATGTTTGTTTCAGAGATTAAGAATTTTAAGGATTTTACCTGCCACAGTGCAAAACAAAAAAATAGCTATGTAGTTGCTGTTAGTTAAAGGCTGATCACAGAATAGGCTGACAATTTTTAAAGCCTCTCTCCATAGTCTCAGCTGTTATCTCAAGATAAATATAACTATAACGTGGCATTGTTTATAAATTTACAGAAATTAGAGCTGAAAGGACCTTATACTAAGCATTTAGCCAGTAAACAAATTCTTTTTATAATGTTTTTAACAGATGGTAATCAGTGAATACTTTCACTGGAAGGGAGTTCACTATTAAGGCAGTCTATTCTACTGCTGGGCTACTCTAATTATGAGAAATTCATACTGATACAAAATCTCTTTTTCTGTCATTTTCAATGTCCTACTTTGGCTGGCTGAATATACAGTGCAACATAAAAGAAACAAGTCCCTTTTTATACAATATTTGAGTTTAAGGAACATTGTGAAAAAAACATGTTATCTCCCAATCTTTTCTGATGCCTTCTTCATTAGCCAGCACAGTAGACCACAGCAGAGAGCAGTGAACCCAAAGCCATAGAGTAAGCAGCACTGCTAAATTGATAACAGGTTGTCAGAGAAGCAACATCTCTATGCAGCAACAGCAAATTTACAAGGAAAAAGCAGACCAACCATTTATTTGCAAAGGTGATTGGCATATTTAAGCACAATCCATTCACTAGTATCCAGTGACTTCAAATACATAGATTACAATAAATTTCTAGTGTCATTATTAGAATATCCCTTACTGGGATGATACTGTTTTGAAAAGCACAAATGGGAGCCACCCATAAGTAAGAATTTAAATAAATCCGTTTTCATCATTACGGTTTTACATTCTTCATCATCCCTTTTTATATTTCAAGCTTAAGAATCCTTGTTTTCATTATTATTTTTCTGTAACCCAGCTCAGTCTTATTTTTTTTTCCCTTTGGCAAATATGTCAGAAACTGCTTGGCGAGAGTTTGATAGTGACATTTGCTAGTTGATTAGTGGAACATTTTAAGGGATAGCTGTAGCTCCTTTACTCCTTCATGCAGCTGGCTTCTAGGTTTCAACAGTGATTTTAAAATATTTAAACCTCTCAGGAGTAAAACTTTCTGAAATTTCCTGAGGCACACAAGAAGGGAAATTAGCAGAAATCACACAAAATACACTTGGCTCAATAAAGCTTTTTCTTTTTAATAATCGCTCTACAAATTCAATCTGAAAGGCTCTATTTCACAGTCAGAACCTTTTATTTACCTTTTAATGTGTTTGTGCACACTTAGAGGGGCACAGTAATTCTTACACCTCTGCCCTGTCCAATTTGGAGCACATTTTTTAAAGGCTCCTTGTTTTTAACAGCATGAAGAACTTGCTTTGGAGCCACTATTCAAGTCAATGGTATGACCTAACATGCAATGTTCCAGCTGTTCCTCTACAGCCAATACCTGCCTGACAGCTTCTTCAAAGGCCACTGTCACATTAGTATCATCTTTGGCACTAGTTTCTAGGTAAGGGTAATCACCATTCTCCATGCACCAGGCTTGTGCCTCCTCAGTAGTCACTTGCCTATCTTCTTTGTCTACCTTGTTACCCAGAACTACAAAGGGGAAGTGCTCAGGGTCTTTCACATCTGCATAGTAGATGAATTCTTTTTGCCAGTTACCTAGATTCTCAAAGCTCTGCCGGTCATCCACACTGAAGGTCAAGAGGCAGCAATCTGCTCCCCTGTAGAAGGGTGTTCTAAGGCTCTTGAAACGTTCCTGCCCTGCAGTGTCCCAGATCTGGAGGGTTACAAAGCGTCCATCTACCTCCAGATCTCGATTTAAGAACTCTACCCCTATGGTGTGAAAAGCCTGGGAGTCAAACTTATTAGTTACATAACGGTTCATAAGTGAGCTTTTCCCAACTCCACCATCACCCAAGAGAATGACCTTTAAGAGTAAGGACTTCCCACTCATTGTTGCAGCACCAAACAGGGAGGAGTTTATAATCAAGCGAACCTGAAAATAGATGAAAAAGCAGGAGGGAAAATAGTTAAACCTGAAGTTGAAATCAACTCTGAATTTCTCTGAATTATGTGGTCTTCTAATTTTGCTTCTCTAGATTCATGCTCATTAGGTGATAGAGAATAGCAGAAGAAATAAAATTCTTTTTGTATAATGGTAGGAATAAGTCTTGTTTTTCTGAGGTCTCTTGCCTGTGCCGGGAAAGTGGCTTGAATGCCATGAGTAATAAGTAGCAGATGATCCTGCACTTTGCTTCAGTTCTGATCCTACTGTAAAGGGAGAGAGCCTAGAGCAGAATGACACTCGAATGTGTGACTCTGTTAGCTCCCAGTTTGGAGAGTTCCAAGTGAGAAGCAAATAGTATGGAATAGGTGTTAGACATGAAGTCTGCTCCTGAGAGACTTAAGAATTATTGAGGAGGGAGAGCTGTGTAAGCTGGAGTCTTAATTTTCACAGAAAAGGTCTGCTTCATAGTTAGACTGGACCCTAGAATATCAAAGAAAGTATAAAGTCAATTTTCTTCAGGCATTTACTCCATTTTACTTGAATCAAAATGGATGCCCTCATAAGAAATGGATCTTTCATAGTCTTTTCTTCATGGAACAATGGCACTTAATTTGATGACAATTGATTCATACCAAGAAAATAGATATTATTAAGGACAAAAATCCTGAATAGCTTACTAGTTTTGTATTTAGGATCTAATTCCACAATAGCAACATATGAAAATGCATGGTAAAATCTAAAGTGCTAATAAATATACAGTACCTTTCTTGTTACCTCCTCATGTCTATTTATGGAATACCTAGAACACACCTTAAAATAAATAGATCAAATGTTTACAGAATAATCTTTTTTCTTATATTCTGATAGGTACTTTCACACTAGGCCCACTGTGGGAACTCAATAATGATGATGTTAATTGGGTAATATTTACACAAGAGACACAGTGATGAAAATTAATCACTAATCAAAAAAGTACATACAAAAGAGCTTCTTTCTGGATGCACATGCATATAAAATGTAATTGAAAAAACTCAGTAGTCCTTAAAATTATTTTGGAGTATGTGTGTACAATACATATTGTTTTCTAAATATTTATTTTTAATATATTTAGTTAAAATATCAAAATTTTATAGTTTGCCCCATGAAATACCTACCCAGTTGAGTTTTTCTTGCAATTTTTCTCTTTTTCCTGTTGCAGCTTTATTCTTTTTGGGGAAGTTCTAAAACACAGAATAGGAAATAGTCTTTTAAAAATGTATAATAAAATAAAAATAAAGCTATAAATAAAAAACACATTCATTCAAGTCAAGGAAAAGAACCCCAGAGCAATTTTAAGTAACCCACAGGAGATGTTTTTTGTAAATGCATTTAGGATTCCAAAATGGTACAGATGTCTAATATGCACAAAATAATTTTATTGTTAAAAATTTGACCTGTCCTAATTTCAGTGTAAGTTTTTTGAGCTTTATGAGTTCTCCATTTCGAAGTAAAAGTGAATCAAAGAAAGTAGATGATATTGATAATAGGTGGTATGCATGAAAAGGAAAGTATTCTAAGATATGTTGACATTTCAAGTAAGAAATGAAACTACTTCCTGTTATACCTACCAACATTCCCTCTCCAAACACATTATTAATGCACTCACCTATATGCCTCAAAGTTGTCTGTTTCCACATGATGAAAGAGTAGTTTTTTTTATAAAATGAAGTACTACTCAACCATAAAGAACGAGAAATTAGCGGCATTTATAGCTAAATGGATGCGCATTGAGGACATACTCTTTAAGTGAAATAAATAGGACACACATGTGTAAATACCAAATAGTTTCTCTAGTGTGAGAAACCGAAAATGTAAATAAGGACTAAAAGGTAAAATAGATAATGTGTAATAGGAGAAAAAGTAGAAAGGGGAACTGGAAGTGGAATGGGTAGGGGAAAAGAAAGAAGAGAATGGAATTAATGAGAAGAGGAAAAAAATGGAAACAAAGTCTTTGTAGACAGGGAGGGGTGAAGGGGTTGAAAGGAGGGCAGGGGAATGGGGAAAAATAAGAACCCAGATAATTATGTAAAGGTACATATTTCCAATGATGGATGCCATTATATTGTGTGCCTTAAATGCACCAATAAAATTAATTTTAAAAAGAAAAAGAAAAAAGAAACAGGGAGGCAAACTCTGTAGAGATGGAAAGGTGATGTGGGGAAGGGGGGAGAAGGAGGGTGGGGAAGGGGAGTAAAATGTTCAAGACGAAATATGTATATGTAAAAATATTAAAAATATTTAGCTAACCTTATTAAATTTAAATGTACCTGCACTTAGTATTATAGTTGCCAGTTGCAAGAATCTTACTGAAGCAACCTCATTAGTTCTGGTCCAAAAGAAAAACAGTTCCCCTATGTTTGTGGCCTGTTCTTTTTCACTGAGGATTGAAAAAAAACTTTAAAAATATATGCTTCTTAATAATCTTACTGTTTTTTCAAAAATATTCAGGAATTAATTAGATATGTAAATCAGTGGTTATGTAAAGCATATCCTTTAAATTGACAGTCTAGGTCTATACCTACTCTACAAAATTCTCACATTTTTCTACAATTTCTGGCCTTTTTGTCTTCCCCTTTTCTGCTTTAAACCTGCTGTGATTGGAATTAGCTCTCTCTCTCTCTCTCTCTCTCTCTCTCTCTCTCTCTTTCTCTCTCTCCTCCCCTCCCTCCTTCCTTCCTTCCTTCTTTTCTCCTTCTCCTTTTTTTTTGAGACATGGTTCCACTAAGTCACTAAGTTGTTCAGGCTGGGTTCAAACTTGCTAATCTCCTGCTTCTGCCTTCCACTTTGCTGAGATTAGAGACATGTGCCCATATGTCTGGTTTAAAAACCATTTCTTGAAATGGAAGTGAAACAAGTGTTAGCATGCATCTTCATTTTATTTATTTTTGTTTTTGTTTTGTTTGGCTTTTGCAGTACTGGGGATCAAACCCAGGGCCTCTTATATGCTAGGCAAGCACTTAACCAGTGAGCTCCACTCCCAGCACATATATCTTTATTTTTTATGATGGCCTGAATGATAATTTTACAGTGCATAATATTTTTTGTTTGTTTTTTGAGACAGGGTCCCATTATGTAGTCTAGACTGGCATCAAACAGACTACAAAGCCCAGGCTGGCCTCGAACTCATGGTGACCCACCTGCCTCAGCCTCTCAAGTACAGTGCATAGCTCTTGAACTCTCATTTTAAAAATATAATAGGAGGAAATACAAACTTGGGCCACAATAGTAATGGTTAGTATTAATGGTATATGCTAGATGAGTTTTCTTAAATGCCCAACAAATAGATGTTTGCATCATTAAAAGGTTCACTAACTCAATTTCCCAGCTGCACATAAACTCAATGGATGGGTCAAAGTCTGAGTGAACATGCAAACCAAATAATCACTTTTAGGAATAATGATAAAGTATTAACAACTATTTGAGATAACATTCCAGTGGCTTGTGCATTCCTTATTTGGTTTTGTGCACACACAACTTCTAGGTACACAGTCTCTGTTCCAGGGAAAGAGAAGGGAAAGCAATGTGGTTCACTATAAAGAGCTCTGAGCTAGAGACTGCATCGTGGATGAGTAGAGGCAGTGGTGCACACAGGATGCTCAGAACATGCACACAGGGAAGTACAGGTACACAGAAGCAAGCGGTAAACAAAGACTCAAATATGGGAAGGCGCTTGAAGAAGAAGCCTACCAGTATCGCGGGTACTTAGAAAAAGAAGCTAGGCTGCCCCCCTTGATCATGGTACTACTCACATCTCGGGTCTGAGGAATATGCTATCTTGGGAAAAGATCTAACAACCTGAGGGAAGAAGCTGAGTAGAGCAGGCAGCCAGGCTACCGTGATCAGCCCCTAGCCTAGAAGTCACAGTTTAGGTCCCTCCTGCTCCAACTTTATTTACACTGGTGAGTAAGATATTCACTGACTAGGGCACTAGAGAAATAGAAAGGCAGTGACTGAGTTAGGGCTGGCCAGCCCCTGAGAAAGAAAAAAATCAAGGACATAGTTATGGCCCTGGTTAATTAAGGGCATTAAAAGAGCTCAGTAGGTTGCAGGGGCCAGCAGCAGTGAAAACCTGTGTTATCTGGGTGAGGAAAAAGACACTGGAGCAGAGGCAAAGTAAACACTCTCTCATAGCTTCCCCAAACACTGCTGAGTTTTGTATCCACAGGATATCCTGCCTGCCATCTGCTTTCTAGGCACTCCAGACTTTGTTGCTATATGGCCTCTACCCTCACAAAAACGCTCCCACTGCCAGCCAAAAGTGATCAAACTCTTTGAACTCTAGGCAACACTGAGTTCACAGGATGGATAGTGATTCTTTGTGGCAAATGGACAGAGTTTAGCACTGGTGGAAAAACAGAGAGGAGTGGCCTAATCAGAAGGGGTTGTGTGGTACACTTAACTAGGGTGGTATAGAAAGAGCAGATGTAAGCATCTGCATGGATTATTGCAGAAAGAAGGGAGCAGAGATTGAGAAGCCTCTTCGGAAATCAGCAGACTAGGTCCTCAACAAACAACACTGTGCCCTGATCCTGACTGGCAAGTTCAATATAAGATACTGGTCTTCAAACAAAAGCAAAAAACCTCTGGCTAGCCACACCCACAAGAGCTCAAACAAACCAAGCACAGCACAGCCTACAGAAGGAATGAGAAGCAGGTTCAGCACTCTGTCCAGACCCTCAAACCCCTTCCTCACTGGCAAGCAGGAGAACAAGTTATAGGAGGGGAGCCAGCTCAAGCACCAGTAAATACCCACCCTTTTGGGTCCAACCACAGAGGACTGAAGCTTAGCCATCCTGCCCTCACCCACAACTGCTATAAGCCAATATTTCTCCATTTGGGCACATAGGGGGAAAAGCATACTGGTTGAATTCTGACTGTGAGGATTTTTGTGTTTGTATGTGTAAGTTTAATTTTTCTTTCTTCCCCATTCTTTCTTTGCTTATTCACCTTTGGAGAATAAGAATTAATTACTACTTTAGTTTAAATAGTATCTCTCACGGGAGTTTCAGATTAACCCTCACCAAAAATTGTATATAAAGGATTCAAACACAAACTTTCTACCAGCATATTAATTGGTTATAATCTTCTCACAGCTTCCCTCACTCTCCAATTACACCTCCTTCCATTTTGATCCTTTTTCCTGTCCCTACAAATAACCTTTAAACCTCGTATACATCAGCCCCACACTCCAAACATAAAAATACTATCAATAATGTTACATCTCTTGAATATCATTTGTTATTATTTTTTCTCCTTTGCTCCTTTCTGAACTATTCTGTTTCTTCCTTTTCCCTCCCCTCATCTTCTCAAATCCAGCCAACTTGTCTCAAATATTATATTACAGTTTTTCCAGGTTATTGCAAAAGGATGAAATTGGTAAAAATAAAATTTTAGTTATATGATTTATAGTGGTTTTGTGGATACTGATAGAACCAGAATTGTTTCACTACTTGCAAGTCAGTGACCAGGACTGATTTTAGGACATTTGGTAGGTTAAAGGTATTTATAAATACTAAAACATAACCAAGTCCAAAATCATATCACAAGGAAATGTATACTAATGGAAGAGATCTCCACAGTAGCAACAGTTTTTCTACTTTAACTGATCCTCAAACAACCATCAGCATAAAAACAATAGAAACATGAGAAAAAGCCAACAAGATACACCCAAAACTCATGAGCAATGAAGTGGATGAAGGCACAGGTAAAGAACTAGAAAATCAAACTGTTTAAATGATTGAAGAGATCAAAGAAGAAACAAAAATAATATGTTTAGCGAGCTCAATGATTATGTAAATAAAGATAAATAGTTTAATTAATAAGGCACTCAAAGACCTTAGACAACAAACAAAATTAAACAAGATGATACAAGATATGAATCACCATTTTAGTTAAGAATAAGAGATTATAAAATGAAATCAAGCAGAAATTCAGGAAATAAAATTTTTTTGAAAGTATAGGCTGCAGAAATTTACTAATGTGATGGAACCATGTCAGAACTAGAAGACAAAGTTGATGTAGTAGATCATATACTCAGTAATATGCTAAAGACAAGAAATACCTGGGAAATTGGATGTAACAGACAATAAATAAATAAAAAATAACAGCCTAAGAACTATACAAGTTAAGAAGAGATTAGAAGACAACAGGAAAGGCATACAAATTTATTCAATGAAATCAA